AAACCTTCACCTCAAATGAGGAGGTCAAAAACCTCCTCGATCAGTTTTTTGCCAGCAAAGACCAAAAATTTTATGAGCGTGGAATTATGCTGCTACCAGAAAGATGGCAAAAGGTGTTGGACCAGAACGGTCAAGATATAATTTAATAAAGTATTTGTTTATTATACGAAAACTGTCTTTCATTTCCACAAAAAAAAAAAACGAAATGACTTTCCGAACAACCCTATATTATATGATGTACTCTTTGAAGTCGACCTTATTGTAACAGCTGAGAGCTTTTTCAAATTCACCCCGTCGAAACGCTTTAACAGCTTGAGTTTTTAAAGTTTCACACTTCTCTTTCTTTATCTGCCTATCTTGAAACCTTTGATTTGCATCTTTTTCAACTTGTTTCATAAACTGTTCTAAAATAAGATTAACACGTACAAATTACCAAACTTTTCGTTGTTGAACGTACCCTGGGACATCGTTTCCGGATTGTCCTCCCTTCTGAAAGCTTCGTGATTAATAACGGATTTGTCGGTTTTTATTTGAACCTGTATATCATCTTCGCTTATATCTTCTGGCAATTTTTTTCCGCTGTCCTTTAGGAACTTGTCGGCTTCCAAAGTGCCCATGTGATTCAGGATTTTGTCTTTGGACGCAAGTTTTTTAACGATGCTGTTAACTTCGTGCACCCTGTACATGAAATTGTCGAACTCCACATCTACGCGTTCCTGTTTGAAATCGGACATATCTTTTGCTAAACACTAAACTTTGTACGTAAGGGGTACTGACAGGCACTTCGGTACTTAAATGTTATTTGTAATAATCGATATCTGCCATGGTAACGAAATAAACCATTTTTCTTTTCTTGACAGTTGAAAACAATCAATTAAATGTCAGATCAAAGGTCTAGCACCTCATATGTAATTACGGAAAAAAATATGTACCCAAGGAAGTTACTGTGGTGTAAAACGTTTGATATGAATCACTATAATTACTTATAACGCTTTTAGATTTATAAAATATTACATATTTCTGATATATCGCTATTTATTTATGTTTACAAAACATCCCTGTTCATTTAGTCATGTGGATAATGTCTCGATGAACTTTTTCAACGTTTTTGAGTTGTCCACTGAAACTGACATATGTAGTTTTCATTTGATACCATACATGACCATATATATCTACAAGACATTCGCGAAATGATTGCTGCAAAAACTCTTCACTTTTTAGCACAAAAATTTTAAGAAAATACGTAATATATTTTAGTTACACACGCATAAGCCGTATGACCAATCTTCCTACACTATTTTAAAGGAAGATATATGCCTATTTAATTTAATAATATACTATGGGGCATGTACCTTTCTCCTACGGAAACTTTACAGTGAAGTCAAGGGTAGGTATAAATGTGATGTTCTTTCTGTTACTTGGTTTTTATAAAAATATAAGAAAAATAAAAACAGTTGCCAAGTTCCATTGAATTTGGTTCGACTATATCGAAGATTAGCCCGTACAAACAGACAAACAGACAGACAGACAGACAAAAACTGGCAGATGGACAGAATGTGGCCAAGATCGCTAGATTACTTCTCCTACAGAAATCGACAGATATACATAAACAGACAGACAGGCATACAGATAAACAGACAGACAAGCATTCAGACAAAAAGTGACTTAGATATCTAGATTACATCTGACAATTTCCTCCTACATAAATCGACAGACGAACAGACAGACAGGTAAACAGACATACAGACAAAAAGAGACTTATGTCCCTAGATTACTTCTGACAATTTCCTCCTACAGTAACCGACAGGCAAACAGACAAACAGGTAAACAGGCACACAGACAAATAGACAAAAAGTAGCTTAGATTTTTCCTGACAATTTCCTTCTACAGAAACCGACAAATGGACAGGCATACAGACTAAAACTGACTTAGATCCCTAAATCACTTCTGACAATTTCCTCCTACAGTAACCGACAGGCAAACAGACAGACAGGTAAACAGGCACACAGACAAATAGGCAAGAAGTAGCTTATATTTTTCCTGACAATTTCCTTCTACAGAAACCGACAAATGGACAGGCATACAGACAAAAAGTGACTTAGATATCTAGATTACATCTGACAATTTCCTCCTACATAAATCGACAGGCGAACAGACAGACAGGTAAACAGACATACAGACAAAAAAAGACTTATGTCCCTAGATTACTTCTGACAATTTCCTCCTACAGTAACCGACAGGCAAACAGACAGACAGGTAAACAAGCACACAGACAAATAGGCAAAAAGTAGCTTAGATTTTTCCTGACAATCTCCTTCTACAGAAACCGACAAATGGACAGGCATACAGACAAAATGTGACTTAGATCCCTAAATTACTTCTGACAATTTTTTTGTACAGTAACCGACAGGCAAACAGACAGACAGGTAAACAGGCATACAGACAAACAGGCAAAAAGTAGTTTAGATTTCTCCTGACAACCTCCTTCTCAAGAAACCGACACATAGACAGACATACAGACTACATGTGACTTATACCTTTAGATTACTTCTGACATTTTTTTTCCCTATTGTAACTGACAGGCAAACAGACAGACAGGTAAACAGACATACAGACAAAAAGTAGTTTAGATTTCCTCTGACAATCTCCTTCTACAGAAACCGACAAATAGACAGGCATACAGACAATAACTGACTTGGATCCCTAAATTACTTCTGACAATTTTCTTCCACAGAAACGGACAGGCAAACAGACAGATAGGTAAACAGGCTTACAGGCAAAAAGTAGCTTAGAGTCCTCCTGACAATCTCCTTCTAAAGAAACCAACAGATAGACATACATGCAGACAAAAAGTGACTTCGATCCCTAGATTGTTTCTGACGAGCTTCAGTAACCGACACAATTAGGCAAACGGGCATATAGGCACACAGGCAAATAGACAAAATGGAGCCTAAATCACTCCTGAGAACCTTCACATACAGAAATCGACAGATAAATAGGCAAAAAAATAGACAGACAGACAGACAGGCAAGAAGGAGCCCAGGTTGCTCGCGACATCGCGAGAGACAGACAGGCAAAATTTTAACGCTGTTTGGCTAGATATAAAAACAAGTTTATTAAATAATAATAATAATAATAATTCAAATTTACAATATTTACAATAACAATTGCAAGCCTTATCGTCTACGGTTTGGACATAAATATTCTACAGTTTTATCGAAATTAAGTACAACTACATTACATTGATAACAATAAGAGACGAGTCTAACAAATATGCATTTACAATAATAATAATAATAATAACAACAAGCGCAGTTCCTCATGCATTATCTGCTACCTCATGCCTCGTACGTACACCCGTCATCCTCTCTCTTTTTTTATTTTACTTATACGTATATATTAAAGCACTAACACATTTTGCAAAGCCATTTTTATATTAAAAACAAGAATATTTCAAACGCGAAGTAGTATCTTTGGAACAAGAACATTATACAATACATATATACCACCTACCTACCATATTGCTGGTTTGAAACAGTCCTGAAGAGGATATGTATTCTAGTGAGAGAGAGAGAGAGAGAGAGAGAAACATCCCCCGAAATGTCTAAGATAATCTAATATGTACATTAGGCTGCGCCAAAAAAACTCGATATTTTTTTTTTCTTGCTCTCTGCTCAAAATATCGTAAAATATGTCTAAACAAATATCCTGTTAGAAGTGGAGCTCATAATTTCAATTTTAAGAGGTCCATCATCGAATCTGAAATTTTACCGTTTAAAAAACACAGAAAAATGATAAAATTTCAGAT